AAAAAAAAAAAAAAAAAAAAAAAAAAAAAAAAAAAAAAAAAAAAACATAGAGGATGCAACTGGATTTAGTCAAATTTTGGTACAGGATAACGTGAAATGCTCTATTCCATTCATTCCATAAGTGTTTTTAATCATTTACAGTTGAACGAAATGGAATACTTCTTTCCCGATGATAATTAAATAATCATTATTGGATATTTTAGGCTTAAGCTTAGACCCAAATGGTTAAAATGATGTATTATAATAGATGACTAGATCTTGACCCGCTCGATCGAGCGGGTGTCATTTTTCATTTATATTGACAAAACAATTTTTTTCTACTTCAAGAATGTCATATTGTATAATAATCACATACATTCAAATGTGTATATGACATCTGTGTGGTTACGCGCTTACGTATATCTTATCTATTGAGTATAAAATTTTAAAACAACTCATTGGATATTATTTTCAATTGTGATAGAGTATTTCGAATATATTCGTATTTTAATGATAGATATAAGGATATATCCAATCAGTTGTGATGGCAAATTAGAATAGATGGTTACATATATATATATATATGTTTAGATATTATTTGTTGTAATCAAATGATGGTTTTGAAAAGATTGTTTAAATTAGTTAGGAAAGATAATTAGTTTATCTTATGGTGTGGTCAAATATTTTGTGGTCTAGCTATAGTTTTGCTATGAATAAGTGACAATGAGATATGGTTTCATTGGGATTTTCAGTATGTATAGAAAAATGTAGAAAACATTTGCAAACGTAAGTATAGATTTATAATTAATATAATGTTTATGTAGTGGAAGACAATGTGATTTTATTGATTATGTCGAAAAATGCATGAATGTTACTGTATATGTTAATATGTAGTAAAGAAATCAGTAATATATGTCATATATGTTAATATATATGAAGAAATGTATTATAGTTAGCAGAAGCGTATTTTTAGAAGTGTAGTTGTTGTAGATAACAAATATTTGTCGTGATATATATATAAGTGTTATCATTATATTAAGTGGTTACATATTACTAAGGAATAAATGAAATCAGATTTTCTAGGGAGGATCTATTTTTAAAAAATCACACATGAAATGAGATTGTGATTTCTATTTTAATATAATAGATTAGTCCACTCTATATCATTAAATGTATTTTTCTATTGATCCACCGGATCAGTTAATAAAGTTTATAAAAAAGAAAAAGAAATGGAATACTTTTTACATCAATTCTCAAAGGAAATAACTCCATTATAATTTTGATCATAATAAAATAAATGTTTTCTATTTTTTGCTATGTTTTTTTTTTCTTTTTTTTTTCTTTTTTTTTCTTTTTTACTCTACTAATTTCATTTTATATGTACCAGTTACAGCCAAAAAAAAAAATAGAAAAGGATACAAAATCAATTATTGATTGAAAATCGTATGAGTATAGCATCTCGATAAGTTTTGAAATCCTCAAAATTTTAAACTTTTTTACTTTCTAATAAACTTACACACTCTCAAATTATTTCGTATTTTATCTCTAATATTTGATACATTTTTAAAAATGAAATTATTTTTTTTCTTATTTGGTAAAATGAAAGTATACATATATGAATTACAAAGTATATATATATATATCTAGAGTATTTGATAATTTAAAAAGAAACATGAACAAAAATAGGAGAGAAGACAGAATCAGCGCTAAGAGTCTCAATGAATATTTAGATAATTTAATAATAATATTTTGTGACAAGTTATTATATATTTAATTTTAAAGAGAGGAAATGGTAGTCCAATTACAATATGACAAGTTTAATGAATTTATAAAATTATGTATTTGAGTTTCTTAAGTGAGACACTTTTCTACAATCTTTTTTTAATTGTTTTACTGTGAAAAAACACTTTGAAATATTCTCAATGTGCATAATATAATACTATCTTTCAATAACATTCACTCTAAAATTAAAAAAAAAAAATATAGTAAAATATTAATATTAATAAAAATGATCTTAATCAATTATAATGTCCCAGAAATACTCTCATTGCAATATGAGTAGCTTAAATTTTATATTATACTTAATAGTATAATATAGAATGCGTATAAGTAAAAAATGCGTATAAGTAGAAAATGAGTACTTTCATATCATTGTAAAAGTTGTTTTCAACTTTTCTTGAAGAACTAATAATTTAAATATATATAAACCAAATTGAAATCTAATTAAGCTCGAGTTAGTAACTGATATCTCGATTTTTGTCCTATCTCAATTATTCTTTCCCAATATAAATTTTGAAGAATAATCTCATGGAGAACGAAAATCATGTGGAAAGCAAAAAAAGTTGATTCTTTCCTTTTATTTGGGAGAAATTAATATTCCCGCAACAATATCAAAGAAAAGAATAGTCTTTATCGTTCGAAGATAAGGTTCCAACAACTAGAAGTTGTAAAAGACTTCTGGACTCAAAAATATATAAATCGTTAATGGCTTTAGTTTTGTATTAACATATACTTTCGCACAGATTAAAAATATTCTAAACAAAAAAAAAGTAACAAAAATATTATAAAGAAAAACTGAGATTTGTCATGGATGTTGTTGGTGAATTTCATATGGAGAAAAAACTCTTTCTAGTGTATCACCACCCGAAATACCATCCCATACCACAAATAAAAAGTCCATCCTCCTCCGCTGAAAAAAACATCAACAACCTGCAGCCTCTTTTCTTATGTCCTAACGCAAGAGTGAATGTTCCTGAAGCAAAATGGCGTAGAGACTTGCCTTATTTCCATGAACTTAATTTCCCGCTCATTTCTTCCCCAGAGTATATTTTCTCTGGAAAATCAGATAATTATAATCATTCAGTACTCCCTCTGTTTTGGTGCAACAACAAAGAATTCGATGGCGATGATGGTGGATGCAAGGCATGCAAGTGCTCAGATTTTGGCTCAGGCTATTATTTCTGCAAGCACTGTGATAAGAAGTATCATAAAGAATGTGTCCAGTCTCCGCTTAAAATAAAACACCCTTATCACCCTGCACACTCCCTCCAACTTCACGGTGGTTATTTCACTCTCAAATGTTTCTGTTGTGGAACATCAGTATCACCTCTAGCTCTAGCATTTTATTGTAGCATATGTCAAGTTTGCATGCATCCAATATGCGCAATGAAACCAGCATCTTTTATTATAGACCAAACCAAAATGCATGACCATCCTCCCACTTTTTTTCACCGAAAAGCTTTGTTAACATGTAACGTTTGTGGCTGGTTGAGAGAACTTTATCCCACCTACGTTTGTCTCGAATGCATCTTTGTAGCTCACAATGATTGTATGTATTTCCCACGCATCATCAAGATATCACGCCACCCATCGCATAATTCACACTTCGCCTTCTCCCGTCTGGTGAATGGTCTTGTGGAGTTTGTCGCAAAAATATTGATGGTGATTATGGTGCATATACTTGTGGCAAGTGTTGTGATTATGGTGTTCACTCAATATGTGCTCTAGGGAAATATGAGTGGGATGGCAAAGATCTCGAAATTGTATCAGAAGAAGATGATATAACACCAGAAGTTGGACCATTTGATATGATATCTGAAGGAAAAATACTTCATTGTCTTCATGCCCATCATCTCTGCCTCCAAGTCAGCATACTTTATGACGAAAACAAATTTTGTCAAGCTTGTGTTCTGCCTATCTTTGAGGGTAATTTTTATTCTTGCAGTGAGTGTGATTTCATCCTTCATGAAACATGTGCAAATTCTCACCGCAAGATACAACATGCATTACATCATCATCCACTTATATTGAAAGCTTATGAGTCTAATTTACTCATGTGTAATGCTTGTAAGCAATATTCTGGTGGATTTGTTTATGCGTGTGATTTAGAGGAATGTCCCTTCAATCTGGATATACGGTGTGCTTCAATTTCTGAGCCGCTTGATTACCAATTTCATCCACATCCCTTGTACCTAGCTTCAGAAAAAATATTTAATCCCATGTGTGAGGTATGCTCTAGGATTTATGGCAGATATTTAAATCGCATCACATGCGATTTTGATATATACTTCAGATGTGTTACCTTACCATCTTTAATACTATAAAGCAGAAGTCATTTGACAATTCTGTGAATGACATCTATCATTAAAAGAATTAAATCTTTTTATTTTTTTTTGTCAGTATATCTTTTCAAAAACGAGCGATTGAAATCAAATGTGAATTACCTTCACAACTTCTGCTTCCCACTATCTCTTTATAATTGTTTTTTTTTTAAATTAATCCCACTATCTTGCCGATCAAACTACATAAACAATCATAATATGTACTCTTGAGAACCAACAACAGTGATCAAAAACCAGAAAAAAATGTTCGTAGATTTTTTTGATAAATCATTGTGTCAATTTTATAAAGATACTGAAGATAATTGGGAAGAAGAAAACTTACATGCTTCGGTAAGCATTGATTATTACTCTTTTCTTTTGAATTGTGGTTATATATCATTTGACTTTCTTCCATAAGTGGTCAAAATAGATGAATATTACGATGACTATCAGAAACACCATCAACAACTCCTGAATAACATTGTTCGTGAACCAGGTTTGTTTAATTGTTGTTGTGTCTCTTTGATCTTTAATTTATTTGAAACAACTTTTTGATGTTTTTCTTTGTATATTCACTTATTTCATTTTTAATATTTTTTGGATGAAAAGGTCAACGTGTTAGTTGGAAGAAAGAAATCTAAATTTCTGTATGCGGTTTTGAGTAGAATATTATCAGTGTGATTATGAGACTATTTAGTTCAATAACATGCGTAGAAAAACTAATTAAAATCAAATATGTGCATTTGATTATGTTTCGTTCCAAAAAAACCCAAGAAGAAATAAATGTCGTATGATTAAAATTGGTCCATCACCAAGCTATAAAATTCATCTTTTTGAGTTGTTTTTGACAACAAAATTATTATAGCAATTAAGGAAGTGCATATTTTATTATTTCATGCAAGATTGTTTGTTATTATCTAAATAAAAAGTCTATTTTATGGTTTTGTTATATCTTAATAAAATTTGGATTTTTAATGGCATGTCGAAGATAATACATATATTATATCCAAAATTCACTAATTTTTATTACTTGATAACTATTTATATTTATGCTGTTCAGAATTAACACTATTCTAATAAAAATCTTTGGAATAGTGCAAAATATCTTTTGAAGTTAGAATATAACACAATTAAACATTACTATGCCCATGCTAAGCATGGGCCACAATCCTAGTCAATAATAAGTTATAAGCATGACAAGCACGTTGTGTTCAAAAAAAAAAAAAAAAAAAAAAAAAAAAAAAAGCATGACAAGCACGTTCTCAGAGTTGTCTTGGGAAAACCTAAATTAAAAGAAAGTTGGTGCGAAGTGTGTGAACACTATATAGGAAATACAGACACATATGTGACCTATGGGTGCGACGAGTGCTACACCACTTTTCATGTAGAATGTTTATTTAGTCATGACCCATATGTGAGGATTGGTCAACAATTAGAAGTAGATGGGATAAAGTTTCAAGTTCTTTGCAAAAGTACTACTTCTCGGCCATTTTGCAATTCTTACAAAAAACGTTGTCAACACAGAATATTTAAGAGACATAACTTCATTGCATGTTCTGTGAGATGTGTTCGCCGTAATTTAATTTGTCGTTAAAATTATATAAGAATCCAGTGACTTGTATATATATATCTATGTAATTCTGATTTATACCAAGAGAATAATGTTTGGTATTTATACCAAGAGAAGTATTGCTAGAAAAGGAAAACATAAAATCAAAGCTAAAAAGAAAAATATCTAAAACGTATTCGTATGTTCTTAAATCATATAGAAATTATACTTCAATAATTTCTTTGTGTTTTATAATTCATGTTTGACTATTTTCATTTGTTAGTTTCGACTTCAATGCTATTTTCTTAATTTCGTTTCACGGTGTTTATATATAATTTGTGTTCTTTGTAGTGAAAATCACAGTTAGATTGTGAAGTAGTTAAAACTAGCTCTTCGCAATCATCATTTTTGCTAGTGTACGGATGAAAGATCCAGGTTATTTCAAATGAAGAAGAAATAGCTACTTTTACAATCATTAAAATTTATCATGGACATTTAAAAAGTTTTATTCCAGTTTAGTCCCCTATGTTACAGTGATCAGTCCATAAAACTAAGGAGAGAGCAAATTAAGAAATCAATCCCATCAGTTGAGAATGTAAACTGTATACTCATCACCGAGGTTTCACACTATCATTATTCATTAGCATCAACAAATCTTTCAGTGACAAAAAAAAAAAAAAAAGCATCAACAAATCTTTTGCCGACACTAGTCTTAGTGGGCTGGGCTGGACTTTAGTCACCCTGAAAACTGTTGTTCTACCATTTTGGGCTTGGATCACTCGCTTCCTATCCAGTCCCATATGAATCATTCAAAAATTTTGATAAAGATAAGTTTAACTGATCCATAAATAAACTATTGAAATTTAAAAAATTCCGCTGCCGGGAGTCGAACCCGGATTTCAAGGAGGGGGGCGAACTCAGGATAACCCGAATGTTCTCTGCTCATTTTGAAATAACCTTTGTGCTACAGCGGATCACGTTGTTTAGAGACAAGTATAATTCTATTTATTTATATGTGTAAGCTCAAATATTAGTAGATACTGCTGGTTGTGACATGGAAGAGAGCACATGCCAAATATTGTGTATTTTTCTGTTTAATCAGTATCACCATAAATTAAAAGAAAAAAAAAAGAATTCGTTGGATAATATCCTTACCTGTTTGGGTTATTATTTGACTATTATATTTTCCATAATAATCTTATCACAGTAGTTACTTCCTATTTAATTCGATAATCAGTGTGCATATTTATTTACTTCTTGTGGTTTACTCATCACAGTAACTATTTCCTATTTAAGACTAACCATAACAACCATCGCCAAGATTCTCTCTCTCTCTCTAAACCCCTTCCTTTCTCTCTCCGTCGGCGATGCAGAGACTTTCCATAGACTCATCAGCTTCAAAGCTCCACAGCTATAATCTCGATGACTTAAAACGGAAAGAATCACTCTCCTTCTCTCCTCCTCCTCCCTCTTCTTCTTCTTCGTCGTCGTCCGCCGCAGATTACGACGATCACGACCTCAAGGACGTTAAGCTCAGACGGTTATCGTCGCCTTATCAGAAACGAGAGAATCTCGTCCACTTCATCCCCGTTCTCACTCTCATCTGCTTCATCATCCTCTACCTCACCTCTCACGCTCCTTCGCAATCAGGTTCCATATCCGAAACGAATCTTCAACGTGTTTATAATCATCTGATCCGTTTTGAATTTTTTTTTTTGTTTTCTCAGATTTGGCTCAATTTAACGGATTCATGCGTCAATCTATTAAATGTCCCACATCGGACAATTCAAGTGTCCTTGGGCAATATATATGTGTATGGGCAATCCTCCACTCTTGAGCTAGCTTTTGGGTGTGAGTTAGGCCCATCACTAATATGGTATCAGAGCAGGAAACAATGGTTTAGTAAAGACATCCGCCAGTTGATGATCTGAACGTACGTGTAATGTCTTGATCAGCCCTTTGACAATCTTCTCTCGGACTATATGACAATCTATTTCCAAGCACTTAGTTCTTTCATGAAAGACCACAGGTTGATGTTGAGGAACCGTTAACTCCTGAAGTAGATTGACAATCCAAACAATCTCTCTTACAGCCACTTCCATTGCTCTGTACTCAGATTCTGCAGAGGAATGTGAAACTGTTGTTTGTTTCTTAGACTTCCAGGCGATCAAAGATGGTCCAAGAAACAAACAAAAACCAGAAGTTGAACGCCTTGTATCTGCACAAGAACCCCAATCTGCATCCGTGAAGGCTTTAAGAACTAAGTCTGAATCAGAAGAGTAGAATACTCCTTTCCCAACGGTACCCTTCAGATAGTGTAACACCTTATACGCAGCTTTAAGATGGGACTGTTTTGGAGAAGATGTGAACTGACATAACTTGTGCACTGCAAATGTGATATCAGGCCTAGTTATAGTCAGATACATCATCTTTCCAACAAGTCGTCTATACACTCCAGGATCCTCAAGCAAGGGCTCTTCACCATTGCTCTGATACCATATTAGTGATGGGCCTAACTCACACCCAAAAGCGTCTAGGTATGTGCAATGCTGATTCGTTTACTTGAATTCAATTTTTCTTATTGATTGTTGTTTCCTTCCGTTAGAATCTGACGAAGACGGTGAGATCTCTGGGTTGATGATGATCAGTACCGACGTTATCCGTACTAGTAGCGTAAGGAACTTGAAAGAGACGGAATCGCTTCCCCATCGTCGTCGAACCTCTCACCGGAAAACAGCTGACTTCTAAGCTTCTTTATCTTCATCGTTCTCTCAGTCGCATGTTTGTTTTTGTTCATTTGAATCTCAAAAAAAAAAAAATCGCGATTCGCGTTTTCTGTTATAACTAATTTTCAAAAGAAATCGCCTTCGGTTAACAATAAAACCGGCCGGCGATGGAGTGAGTAACCGTCATGCTAGATTGCGCTGTGGATGTGAGGCGTAGGTTAGAGTGAGCCTAGGAGTAGTTATGTTATCCAGCTGGATTTTTTGGACCGTTACAGAGCCTCGTGCTGCGTTTTTTTTTCTTTTTTTTACTTACTACTCGGAGTTAGAGCCACCACTCTCCTATAGTAATTCATAATACTTTACCTTTTCACTGAAAAATGTAATAAAATTTTATCGTATATATACCCAATCCTACTGAACTACGAAGTGTGAAGAGATTTCGCTTTTTTTTTAGATAATGTAGTTAGGTGCTGTTCGTTTGCTCACCCAGGTGATCCATCTGGGTGAAGATGCAAATCAATGTTCGTTTTGTACATTAAAATGCTACATCTACATGGATCACCCAACTGATTTTTTAAAAACTCATCTCAAATTCTCATCCAAATGAGGGTGAGTCTTGATGGTGCATCTGGATGCAGATGCATCTAGTTCAGTCCAAAATCATA